GCTGGAAATCAAGGAAATCAAGAAATATGGGAAATAGAGTGAATTAAGGATGCTTGTCACTCAAAACAGATTCACTTAGTAAATCTATTGTGCATGCAGAAAAGATGTGGTCAGACCAAAATGACTGAGAATGCATGCTTGGCTGCAGGGGGTAGCAGGCCCTGAGTGACTGCAAACAGGTGCCATCCTCCTGCAAACAAGCCCCCACTTCTCATCACAGTCCAGCCTATTTGCAGTTGTCAGTTCAGATGACAGGTGATTATACAGTTCCCCAGGGCTTCACATACCATATATGGAGGTTGAGGTCACCCCCCATCCTGGACCCTGTAGTGCCTGGGGAAAGCTTGGACAGCAGACATGCCCCTCAACTGTTGCAACTTTTGGCACCAGACAGAGGGGTTCACCTGGGTCATTTTGAGGCCAGGGTGTTGACCCAAGAAAGGCAGGGGGCTCTGGCTGAACCCACACCCACTCTGTGCATCTTATGGGCACACTGGTTCTGGACACCATGGGACAGTGTGTACCCACTATTCATAAGGCTGCTGTGCTTTAGATTTGTGATCAGATAAAGAACTCTGCTAGTTGGTTTTGTGTAAAAGCAGTGAAAAATGTAATGTCACTTGGAGGCAGTCAAGCTGAAGCCAGCTAGAAAGGTCTTGGGGTGGCCTGGCCAAAGGAAGTTCACCACCAGCGCCAACCCTCTAGTACCAGGACAAACTGTGGACAGCTGACATAGACATGCTCTTACAGTCTTGCAACTCTTGGTGCCAACCAGAGGGGTTCACCTGGGACATTTTGGTGTCAGGATATGCCAAGCCAGGTTGGGCGACTTGTTTCCTGTAACAACCCCTCCTCTAAAAACTTCGGGTTTTTTGGTTTTTGGTGATTACCCTTGAAATGCATCAAGCACACAACAGAAAAAAGGTAGGCACTGAGCAGAGGACTGAATGGATGAACCCTGACCCCCAAGGGAACCAAGTCACCCCTCGTGGCCAAAAGCATTCCTCACACCAAAATCACACCAGCAGCCCTTCAAGGGAGACCCCCACCACCAACAGCAGCCACCACCCACAAGACTGATACCCCATAGATCTCTAAAGCACTGCTAAGTATACCTTGATTGAAAAAAAACAGATAAAAAAAACTTTATTTCAAATATAAATAAATAAAAACAACCAATCAGAGAAAATGGAAACACTGCTGAATACCCACTCCTCTATCCCATAACTAGAATGGAATGTGAAATACGAAAACAGACAATTCAAGTGTTCTAAAATCAAACTTTATTAGTACAATAAGTACTATGTTAGCAATTTCTATATTCAGAGAGAGAAAAACAGTACAATGATCTCACCCAATCCCAGATGTTACTTTGCTTCACAGAAAAGATGACCACTCTGTTCCTGAAGCAAAGGGTGTGTCATTGGCTGGGATGATCCAGACTGGTGTTGAAAGTTAGATGTTGATGAAAATGATGATGATGATGATGATGACGACGACACACTTAACTTTTTTGATCCCCCCTTTTATGCTTTTCTTTAACTTGACTCCTTTGATGACTCCTTGCTTTCACATTGGTGTGTCTTCCATCAGCATATTGTTCATACTTTATCCTGTCAGCATATTCCTTTGTTCGCCAGACCCACTATAAGCATGCCTCTTAATTTGGCCTTTTTTCTGGGGTCTTACTTTAAGCATTGTCCATTGGTCTCCTTTATCACCTTTTATTAACATATCCAATCATTTCACCCCTCTGATTCAGCTGGTTAGTGACAAGTTCAGTTCATCTGAGCTAGTAACAAAACTGTTACTATGTTGTGTTTGAAAAACTTCTCTCACTGATAGAAAAAGAAAAGAAACATCATGGCCATAAGCTGCTTGCAAAAACAAGGCCAGCTGATATTGCAAACACCAGCAAAATGAACAGTTCAAATAACAATGAGGCTATACAAAACTTTAGGCTGAATATAAAAGAAAACTTTAAACAACACTATAATTCACTACTCTATAAACAGGCGCAACTTTAAAGCATAAAATATGACAAGCTACCCTAATAGGCAGGGATTGCCCCATACTCCCAAACTCACCTTCCTTGCCTCCCCTTACAGGCTACAAAATCTCCAATGGGAGATTCCCCCAAACTTTGCTTGGGCATACCTATGCACTCAGTGTGGCTAAATATCCTTGTGCAGGGGTCTGGATCACTGCATTGGCTGTCCTCAATGAGACACAACTGGAGGGCAATTGGAAGGGAGACAGCAGTTAGGTTCACATTTTCCAATGTACTCTAACCTATTCTTTCAAGTTTCCCCCTATGACCATGTGCCCAAGTCCCCCCACAATGGCAAACTTACCACCAGCTGCACTTCTGCCTCTGACTCCTGTTCCTGATGTTGTGGCTGATGTGGGAGATAGGGTGGATGCAGTGGAAAGAAGAGGGGGTGGTGCAAGCATGACCACAGTGGGTTGAGGAAGCCAAACCATAATGGGTGGTGGTAGCATCACCACCATGATAATGTGTATGGCAGGGGTGAAGGGCGTATGGGAGGTGTGAAGGAGACAAGAATAGGATGGGGGAGAGGGTGGTGAAGAATGGAGGGGTGGCAGTAGTTGGGCCTCCTTGCTGTATGTGAGCTCCTTGGTCACTTGGAATCCATGGCTGGGGTGGGTGGCTGGATTTCCTCTGGGTTAGTGCATGTATGTTTCTATGCAGTTCAAACAAAAAACGCTGCTCTGTTTCTCTCAAACAAGACCGCCCAGTGAATTTTGGGGGCCCATTAAACCCCTATGAGATGTTAAATGATCAGAGCAGAACACATCCAACAGGGCCAGAGATGACCTCCCTTGCAAAGAAGCACTGATACCTGCCATATCTCTGAATATGACAATGGGACCTATTCAAAAGGGGGTTCAGGGACCTGACCTTTGTATTAGCCAACCAACCATTAATTTGGAGTTCAGGCATGTCAGTGTTCTGCTCAGCAACCCCTTTTTTGTGCTGAACACAGCTCATGCTTGGCACCATGGGACACTTGGTACTGCAATTTTACTGGTTGCCTCTGGCACCTCAATCCCTGGCATGCTTATGGATGTGATAATGGGACCTATTAAAAAAAAGGGTGCGGGGACCTGACACCCACGTTAGCCAACCAACCTTTAATTCAGGGTTCAGACATTTCATTATTATGCTCAGCACCCCCTTTTTATGCTGCTGAATGCATCTCATGTGAAAAGGGAGTGCTTGGAGACTTCAGACACCTGGGACTCCGATTTTACTGGTTGCTTCTGGTGCCTCAATGCCTGGCATAGCTTGCCCATTCTGATCCTCAACCCCACAAACACACCTTAGGCCACCCATCTGTCACTACAGTGAAATAGGAGACAACAAACACAAAATGGTTGCTTTGAACTATTTATTTACTGGAGTAAGAAAAACAGGTCAGCAGAAGATTAATTCATGTCAGGCTCTGCAGCTACACCAGGTGTGCTAAAACATTCATTACACATAAATATCTGCTGCCAGCTAATTATCTCTCTCAGTTGGCCCCATTGCCTAGGCAGCCTTCAACCATCTGTATTACTTACATCTGGGCCATAGTCCTCTGAATGCCCAATTCTATAGATACCATCTGAAAAACTAGTGTTTTTATCAACTTAACTGATAGATATAATGCCTGGAGATCTGTAATTTCCCACATCATTGCTACAATCTTTTTAAAAATATGTAACTTTGGTTGGGATCATTCATACAGATAAAATTATATATATGCTGGAATGGAGCCTAAGAAAGAAAAACAGAATCCCATATGCATGCATATGCACATGGAATGAGAAAGTTCTAGAATGTTTAACCTTAGTTAAAATTCTACTGCAATTTTATCTGTAAGCATAGAAGCTTCTTTAGTAATAATTTATTGCTTTGATGAGTCACTCTTTTTGTTCTACCACAATAAAAAATGGGGAATATTCATTTTTCTATTAAAATAGGTTCTGAAATGGAAAAAAAAAAAGTCAGTTTAGAAGGGCAAACTTTCCAAAATATTGGATCAGACAAGACACCTTGGTGCTTTAGATAAGATGATCAAAGAAACAGCTTTCAACCATCAATCCAGAATTTACAAGCATAAATTGCAAGGAACATTTGCATATTGAATCCAACCATTTTACCCTTCCTTTGTGATATAGCATTCTCCTGTAATTATTTTCTCTTTATATCCTATTTGTAAGAGCAGATGCCAGTGGATTGGTGTGATGTTCTAAGGTACTGTGGACTTTGTACTGCAGTGAGGTGATGTATGAGATGGCAGAGACAAATGACATAATTCATTTTTGACATTTCTTTTATCAATGACACACTGAATTAATGGGCCAAAAGAACAAAAAACATGAGAGAGAGAAAGGTGTATAAATAAACAATACTCCTATGGTTTCCATTGAAACTATGAACATACTAAGTAAAATCATTTTATTAGCTAATTTTCTCACTTTCAAATACTACATTTTAATGAAATTCTGATAATGTATGGAATTAATTTAATCCTATTATAATGGAAAATATTTGTTAAAAATAAGAAACAGCAGCAAGCAGTGATAACTGAAAGTGATAAAACATTTTTTTTTTTAGTATTTAGAGAGATATGTACAATGAAAAGTGAAACGGAAATAACTGAAAATATTCACAATATTTCTTTAAGCTTTGTTTTTTCATGGACAAATTGCTGTGACTAATTTTAACTTGCAAATTACGGCTGTCTGAATTATGCATCAGTGCCACAATGTTTCTTCAGGGAATGGAATACTTTATAATCCCAGAAGGCTCAGAAAGCAGTCACAGAAACAACAATTGCATGTTCCTGATCAGTGAAAAATTACACATTTATTACCTTGACAATAATCTACTGAAGGAACATGATAAAACTCCCAACATACTTTTTCGATGATGCTGAAAGGGTTTGAGAACAATGGATAGTTGCATTCCAATACTCTCTGTTAGGAAAATCTCTCTGGTGGTTCTCTTGTTTTATCATAAAAAATGATGTTTCAAATTTTCAGTTTATACCTAATGAAAACAATAGATAATCAGTATGCAGTACTCTCAAGAAACGAAAGCTTGGCATATTTTATTAGGAAAATAAGGTACTTAGGAACAGTTATACTATATTTTTTCATCCAGAAAAATGGCTATATCCTATTTCACTTTTACATGCTTGAGTAGCATTTATGTGGACAATGTTAACATTTATGTGGGTTTTAGATTCTATGTGTACTTGTGATAGAATAGGATATAGTTGCCAGAAGAAAAATGGAGGTGAGTCCTCCTAACTTTTAGCCAACAACCTAAAGGCTCAAGCATTTAACAAGGGAGATAGAGGCCCATCCTCTAGCCAGAATCCCACAACACCAGGGGGTTTGAACTTGCATCATCTACTTCCCAATAAAGTAGTCTTACCATCAGGACACAAGCTAAGCACTAATGTATTCACTCTCCAGACCACCTATTGAAGCTATCCAATTAGGCAGCTCAGAGGTGGGTTGAAGAGGAGAACTGGTGCTCCAACCTCATGGGACAAGCTTCCCTGCTTCTGTTTATCCATTTTATAAAATTAATATTAAATAAGTAAGGTACAGAAAAAGACACGGGCATCTGGGGCCCACTCTTTTCCAGAGAACTATCTGTCTTGAAGAGCCACCCTCCCTTTGACATGCTGTCCTCTGGCCCCCATATTTTGCTTTCCTGGTTGCCCAGAAGGCCAGCTTTCCAAATAGGCTGACAAGTGATCTGACAAATGCATAAGCTATGCAATTGGAATTGAGGATTAGGAAGTAGGAAACACAGGTTCAAACTGTCTCTGAGCAAGTGCCCTAAACACTGGACTTAAAGGAGGGAGGGCCCTCTTCTGTCAAATGGTCATGAAGAGTGTTTCTATTTATGACTTGATTTTGGGGATTTACACATCATGTAAAACGATGAAATTCTATTTGGCCCTATATGGCCACCAAGTCCATAATACAACCTTCTGAACATGCTCAGAGATAAACATGGGATGAGGATACTTAGGCAAGTGTAAATAGATTCCAAACTCCGTGTAGATGCCAAAAGTTGCACTTACGCATCTACATAAGTGCCACTTAGGTAAACCAGACAGTCATGGTCATTTTTTCTTCATTTCATGAGTTTTAGAAGGAGTTTTGCTTGAGTGGAAGCTGGATTACCCATTTATGTGATGCATTAAATTTCACCTTCAAGACAGATTTTCTGGCTGTTGATAGCAATAGAAGCTGTTAAGTAGAGAACATTTTAGAAAAATGTGACTCTTGAGTGTAATTATGAGATAACTTTAGAGAGAGGATAACATTCAGAGCTAATGTCTTCAGTAGATCTACAGGTTTGCTTTAGGCAAATGAAAAACTGTTGAATTTTAGTTCTAGGTTCTCATCTTATTTTAAACTCATCTTAGTGAGCCTTTATGTATTTTACAGAGTGGAACATGAAATATATCATCATGATACACAGAGTAAAGAAAATGAATTTGCTGAACTGTTAAATTTCACCTAACTAGCTGCTAACTCGCATCTGTCATTCATCCTGTTGCTTCAGTGCAAGTTCCAAAATCATATAAATTATAAGGAAAACTTGGGGAACAAACAATTTGTTACAGAACAATGTCTACCTATTTGTTTTTTAGTGGGTGGGTGCAGGTATTGTATTTTTGTTTTGTTTTAGGTTGTTTCTTACTGGTTCCTTGGAGAAAGGGGATGATTGCTTTGAACCCCCTGGAGAGAACCGGATGACAAAGTCTCAGGAAAGCTAAGAACCTATCCAAACAAACACACTCCCTGCAGAGAGAATCAGAGATGTTGATCTCTTCAGCAAAAACACTACCTAAATGTAGCCACAGTTAATTACATCCTGTTGACAAGAGACACCTAAAACACTTTACATTTTATCATCCTGTGGCAGCATACAAATGACAAGTTTTGACAAGTATCTATTTGTTGTTTCCAGAATTTCCATTGAATTTGACAAGTGTACTTTAAGCTATTATGCCTTGGTGCTATTTAATCAATCATCCTTTAGTTTTCAAGTTAATTCTAGTTCAGTAAAACTTGCCCAGGTCTGCAGTTTGTGAGCTATCAATAGAGGCTTTAGGTCTCAGGAAGAACATTAACACAGTGGTTGTCCCTGTAGGTATCACATACTGGATGAATGTCTTCAAATCATTGAGGATAATAGATGTTGAGGATTTTAATCTTACATTAAAAATTCACTGTTTACAATGGATCCCTACATCTAGAACCTGTCATTTTGTTCCATTTCCATCTGGTTTACATAACTCCACCTCCCCCCGCCCCTCCCCCCCCAGGGTTGTCTCCACTTAACTCTTCAGCCAAAACTCCCATAGCCTCAGATACTGATAAAGCAAAGACAAGACACACAAAGCATAACTTCTTATACTACCTGGGTAGTCCATCCAGTCCAGCCAGTGGCCTCTTGGAAAACGTAGAACCCAATCCTATTTGGAAAAAAAGAATTTCCAGTGGAACAGGGACTATGTGGAGTACACCATTTGGCTCCAGAGAAAACCTCCTGAGAAGGGAAACAAAATCTAAAGATCATAGGGATTGACCCCTTATCATAGTGAACAATCAGGCAAATAGGGACCACTACTAAATCTTCTGTCTTCCTATTAGATGATATCTACTAGGAAGACTACCTTATAAATAAAAATTGAGATTATAGGTTAAAAGGTAAGACAGCTGAATCTATACAGCAACAACATTTAGCCCACAAACCATAATTAATAAAAATGCTTGGTAAGCAACAATGACTAGTAGACATATTGCCTCCCTTGGCTTCCCCTGTAAATCTTCGAACTCAAACATGAGGTACAACGGAAATAATTTAAGAAGACACTCTTTTGTGGACCTTAAAACTCAGATGTTTCCTTTAATGGGATTGGCAACTCAGTAGAATCTTGTATGAACTCTAGTACCTCAGATGGCTGATGAATGAAGGGAGATGGAGGTCTATGCCTCATCAGTCAGGCTGCAGCTGGTTGAACCAGTTTGGAGCAAACAAATTCAGAGTTACCTTTGTAATTACAACATGGTCAATGTTCAAGGAATCAGAGGAAGGGGGATTGTATATATTAAAGGGAAATTAAGATCCCTTTTCTCTTTTCTTTTATGAAGTGTTGAGAAATATGTCAGTCTTCTTTGAGCAGAAGCCTTCCAGAATCAACATCTTTAATCTGGGAGGAGGTTGCTTTAATTTACCCAGAATTCCTGACACTTGAACATTCCCACTAGGTTTGTTCTCAGAAAAAAATAGCTGGCTTTCTGACATATCACTTAGGAATGTGACTACCCTGGGCAGTTTCTTGCTCATTCCACTGTTGTATCTTTTAATAAAAGATACTTCTTCAAGCTGTGCTAATAGAACAGCCAACATGACACTACTTGAAAAGCCAGCCTCATTGCGTGAAGCTCAGAGAAACCATTATGTATAGCTAACTTAGTAGGTGACCATATCTGCTGGGATGAAAGGCCTTACATCCCTGTGGAGATGTTATAAGGAATGAGAGAGTGGACAGACACCACAGCTAGAGAGTAAGACAAAAAAGACAAGAATTCAAGCCTAGGAAATGGAAAGACTTGTAAGTTGGCTACAGAGTATGCTATATTGAGATGGAGTAGTGAAGATCAGAGTTGCTTAGCAACAACTAAGGGGGCAGAGTTACTAGTCACAGCCAGGAAGAGCATTAACCTAGATCTGAAATGGTGGTGGGAGGGTGGGATCAGGGCAAGTGAGACTTTTTTCAGAATCATATATTTTCTTCCTGTTGTCTCGAGTCCATAGAAGATCTTTTGTAACCTGACCATCCTGCCAAAGCAATATGGATATAATCCAATGCATTTCAATTCATAGGTTTTTAAGAAAACCTAGACTAATGTTTTATATTCTGCAATGTTACAAAAAATTAAATAATATATCCCAAGAGGTTAAAAAATCACAGAAATAAAGGTAATTAAGCTGATGGCTCCAAGCTGTGGAGCCATCAAATTCATTCATGTTAAAAGTGTTTACACTGTATATAAGCAAAACACAACAGTCTGCATTTGTCATTAAGGCAGTTTACATAAAAATGCCCATGCTGTACTGCCAAAGCACCAGAGAGCTCAACTCTTCTGTAAAACACCAAACATGAACACCTTGTTTTTGAAAAATAGATACATCAGCAAGGATCTGGTAACTGTTGCGTTCAGTTTTAAAAACAGAAATGAACAATTGGTTCGCATCCTTTACCATCAAATGTGTACTTCCTTCTGATAATTAATATATTTAAAATATTGACATATTCAAATAAGTATTCTTCCTCATTTTTGTCTGACTCCACTTTTGGGCTATCAAAAGACTACTTGTCCCAGTATTCCTAATACAAATAAGAAGCAGAAGTCTGGAAAATATTTTTGAAAGATCTTCAGCCACTTTGGTTACACTATGTTTCATATAAACATCAATAAGCATCCTTGTATTTACAGTCTTTTATAATATGAAATCAAACATGAAACCTAGATCACCCATAAATAGCTTCAACCCCCAAAGAAATGTGTGTCTCTAGATACATGTATGTGATTGACAGTAGTTCATCTTTTATTTTAAAATATCAAACATTTACAATTTTATTCTGCTTGTTTTAAATGCAAGTGTAAAGGGCAGTTAAAATATTGTTTAATCATTGTTTATCAGATGCTAAAGGTTCCTGGTGTCTATAGGGAAGTCTTCTGAAGTGGCAATTTTACAGCTCCTACAGCAGCTGAATGTGACAGAGAAATCTCCAGTGTTGTCTTTGGCTGCTGTCCCATCCCTATGTCTCCTGCACATGCACTGTCTCTCTTTTTACTCATACATTTTTATTATGGAAAAGATATGTGTAAACAGAACAAAGAAAGGCACCAAATGTCTCTCCAATGTCCCTATTGTCACAGCTACAGTTACCAATAGCATCATGTAAATCTGCAAAACACATCCTTTCTTATTACTGGAGAAACAGAAGTCACATCTGTGGAAATAAAGTAAGCAGCAGTTTTTATAAAGTCAATATTTTAAACCCTTACCTTGTTTTCCTTGTTCAATGCCTGTTTCCAAGGAAACAGAAGGAGAAGCTGAAACCAGTAGCTAAAAGGTAAAATAAGCAAGAGCTCTGCCTTTCGGTTGCTGGCTTCTGTCCTGTTCTTCTATCTCCTGCAGGTACAGAGAATAAGACCTTGAATAATCTAAAAGAATGAAAAAAAAATCTCTCCAGTCAATAGTTGTGTGTTAAAAACAAAAAAAATGTTTTAGAAACAGAGGCATATTTCACCCTGGAACTTTTCAGCAGGCCAAAAAGAAGAGGGTGTGTGCAGGGAAGAAAATGGTATGCCTACAAGACATAATACTATAGTAACATTTTTCAGAGGACACTATGTATAACAGGAATGGAGACAGAGCTGCAATTATTATTATTTATTTATCATTCTGCACAGGAGGGCTATTATCTGCCCCGTCCTTTTGGGGCATGGCAATGATTAACAAGTCCATTGATCTGAAGGCATATGCTACCTTATGCTATATAACTCTGGTCATTTTTCCCCACTTAAATTTTAATTGGGAAAGGTAAATAAAGGTATGAATTCCAGGAAATCGTAGCAGCCCATAGTTCACTGAGATTTCTGAAGACAGACAGATCTGCTCTGTATGGGTCCAAATGGACAAAAAGATCTGCAGCACCCATGTTGTCTCCAAGAGCTCTATCAAACAGCTTCTCAGGACAGCTGGTTAGAAAATTTCCAATGGGATGTTTCCTTTAGGAAATGTGATTCATTGAAAGCGAAGTGTTTGGTAGAAATGTGAATTTTGTCAAAAACGTCTCAGAGAATAAAAATTTCAGAAAAATGCATGAGATCAAAATATTCTTTTTTGGTAATTTCAAAGTGGAACATTTAAATTTTCCACTCCTGGTGCCTTTTTTGTTTTCAAAAATATCTTTTATTTTAAAATAATAAAACAATAATAACATATTGAAGCCAACGACAAAGGAGTATTTAGTAGAAGTTCCTTTCATGGGAAATTTTAAAAGCTTTAGTTTTTTGGTTGTTTTGTGGTTTTCTTTTCTTTTTTGTGTATATTTGGGGGGGAGGGAAGGAGTTAAAATAGGAAAAAGAAAAAATTACTGCAGAATTTCCCATGTAATGAAAAATTTAATTCCCAAACAGCTCTGATTATCATTCTACTTCCCCTTGGCATGTGCATGTGTCTGTTTTTCCCTGATACCAAAAAGTGATGTTATTAATCTAGTTAGATGAAGTAGTACTGACAGAATAGGGCTCTTCTTTCTCCTATTTTTTTCCTTATTTCTCCCACCCTACTCAGGAGGTATTAGGTGCCCTAAGATAAGCAATGTTGTATAAGGAAAATAAAACAGGCCTACATTAATAATCTGATTGCATTATTAGGCATATCAGCAATCTCGTGGTCTTTAGATTAGATCTGAGGGTATTTGGATTATAGTTTCCATAATTAAAACTATAAAAAGCAGTCTCGTTTAAATCCATTTCCAAATGGCTTATGTACAAAAGCCCCCATAAACAACACCTCTCAGAGACCTATGAAGGGGAAAGAAAAGATGCTAACTCTCTGTGATTTGTTTCATCATTGTACATTTATTAAGAGTTCTAGAAATGAAAATTGCTACAGCATCAAACCATCCCAGCAAATCAGTACAGTGCCATTCAGATAAGGCCAGCCAAAAAATAAAGCAACAAATATACACAAAAATGCAACAAAAAAGAAAGGAACCACAACTACCACTTCGTATATCTGAGCAGTGAATTGAGGGCTATGAGAATATATTGGATAAGACAGCTCTGCATGCCTAAATGGTCAGAATCCAAGGTGCTTTTAGAAGCAAAAGGTCTGTATGCACTTTCTGTAGCATTTTTTAATGAGGGGATTAGGTAGAAGTGGGTAAATGTATCAAGGGAAAAGAAGAAAAATAATATAGGTCCCAACTCAATTTGTTTCCCATGGCATTGGAGAAGGAAGGAAAGGAGACAAAGGCACCTGTAAGCTTAGCAAACCTTGAAATAAATTGACTTCCATAACCTATGACAACTACACAGTGAAACAAAAAGGATAAACGAAGAGGCGCATACTCTGAATAATAATGAAGCAGATTTCATTGATTTGTATGGAGATGTATATTTAAAATCTGTTGGTATGATTTACTGTTCCTCATTTAGTATTGGTCTGGGATCATGCTGTATCAAAATCCCACTGATCTGAGAAAAAACCTTTGTAGAGAACGTAAAACTTATTATGGCCTGTTCCACTACTGTTAAACAAATAACCCCCTTAGACATTTAGTCCATAAAAATTCATATAGCAAGCTATACAGCAATATTCAAAATAGATATGCAAATCCTTAATAAAGATTTCCCTTATATTTTTCAAGCTCCCATTGAAGTCACTGGAAAAATTTGGTAAATGTGGACTTTAGATTTCGACCATTAATGATTAATAATAGCTAAAAATTATTTGCAATTGCTAAAAGCTGTATTATGTCCGTCCTTGTGAAAAATCACTAAGACAGTATTACAAACATGAGAAAATGTAAAATGGCAGTATGATCTGACCTGCACTATGCTATCAAACCCATGGTGTCAAACTCATTGTTATACGAAGAAGCAGATGTCAGAAATAGCTAGGTATCTAGGCAGCAAGAATGTGTAAAAAGTGGTTGGAACTCCCACATAGCAACATTGCATGAAAAGGAATCAAAAGTCTTATGCAGCTGCAGCAAAATCTGCAAATCCCCTGAGTCTCCCTATCACATCACTTCCAGATCCATTATTTTAGCTAACACCCTTTCTAGACAAGTATTGATTTGCCAATGGCTAATGAGCATGGTTCATTAGCCCCATGCATTTCATAATTTATGAAGCACATCCAATGGTAATGCTCTTTATAGTAAGCTTAATTTGTGAAACTTTTTCCCTTTTTTTATGGTGTGTTTTATGTGATAGGATTCAGGCATCAATCCATGCCATAGTATTCCGACTATTTCTCTATAATGTCACACCTTGTTTTTCATCTAGATGCAAATGCACTGCAGGTGTTCCACTCTATTGTAGATGGGTTGGGTGGTTATGGAACACAATGCAAAACATTTTCCAGATTACTTTTGTAGTACTGTATTATCATCACACAGAAAGATGGAACTCACTAGCTCTCTTGTGAGCAGATCACTGTAGCAATAACAAGAAAGCAGGGGAAAGTATATCACATAGCCTTCCAAATTTTTACTGGTTCATGTAATTTTCCTTGTTTAGTAAAAGTTGAGTGTTAAGACTTGAGAAGGCACTAAATTATGGAGTACCTTAAAGACAGGAATAGAAATCCAATGAAGGAAAACAGATCTGAGACAAGAAAATGCCACATAAGAGTCAGGATTTGCTATGAAAATATTTCAACAATTATCATTAGAGAATACTCCAGTAGATTCTGTGGTTCTGGTGCTCAGAAAAACCTAGGATTTAGACACTTTTGGTCCACATCTCCTTTAAAAAGACATTAATGTACATGATCATATTTTTATGATAATTGCAGGAAAATTTTCCTTTGAAACAGGTAATTTTGTTGATGCATCCTTACATTCAACCCTGAAAAACATATTATACATTTGAAAATATTATGATTACTGAACAATATGCCAGATTTATGTTGAAAAGCAACAATTCCCCACCATTTCCAGGTACTTATCTGGGGCTGGGGCTATTCATCATTTTTTTTAATGGTCATATAGTGGTGACAACATTTATCTGTCATTTTGTCTAGGGCTAAAATGTTTGCTTTGCCACAAGCAAGCACAAAATGTCATTTCCAGTTAGGAAATAATGGTTTCTGGTTATTGCAGGCAAATAATGAGCAGAATGTAAAAGGGAATGCTATATTGGTTCCAGAAAAGCAACTTGCAGCTCACTATGATGGCAATTGCAATAGGAATGTCTAATTTATTATGGCCAAAACAAGTCACAATGTTAACTTGAGAGTGTCTCCCAGGCATCCTTATTTCACTGCTGCAAAAGAATTGTAATTCATATATTAAAGCCATTCATTCTGAAGTACAGCACAATATGTGAAATAGGGTTGAGGCAGGGGAAAGCTCTTGACGCAACAGAAAAAAAAAATTGTGATGTGTTAAGATCACCAGGGATCCTAGTTTTCTCTGATTAAACAAAATCCCCAATTTTCAGGTTAAAAAAGTAATCCCAAATCCACATTTTTCTGTGATTAAATGAAAAGCCACTAATACACACACACACACACACACACACACACACACACACACACACAAAGTGGTGTTTCATTTTGATCATGGAAAAGTGTGGATTTTAGGTTACTTCTTTAGGATCCCTGAAGATCATTCAGACTATACGTCAGGGGTGGGCAATTCTTTCGGGCGGAAGGCTGCTTACCGAGTTTTGGCAAGCTGTCAAGGGCCACATGGGTAGCTCCACCCCCTGTCAGGTGCCCTGCCCCCTGGTTGCCATCTTGTCACTGGAAGTCCTGCCCTCTAACCCCAGGCCTTTGGCACCAGAAGTTCCCCCCCTTGTCTCCAGGAATACTGCTTTTAGCAAGAGGTTTTGCCATCTCAGAATGAGAAAAATACCAAATTATATTCTAAAAATCTAACATATACAACACTCATTAATTTGATTTCAAAAAAGAATTTTGTCCTGATTTACATGTGTTTGTATAGTGTACATAGAGGTGATTGTACTATAGCTTAAAATGAAGTTGTACTCATATACTGTGGGGGGTGGAGGGCATGGGGGTGGGTATAGGTTTGTGTGGAGGGCTCTGCGTATGTGGGTATGCATGATGTGGGGGAGGGTGTGGGTGTGTGGGTGGAATGCATGTGTGGATATGTGGAGTGTGGATAGGTATGGGGTTTGTGGGGGACTTTGTGTGGGGGAGAGTGCCTGGGGTGTGTGAGGGAGTGTGGGTGTGACGGTCTGCATGTATGGCAGGGTGTGCTTATGGGACTTGCCCTATGAACACACAAACACTGCCTCCCTCACTGCATGTACACACATACACACACACACACACACACACACACACTGTGCCTCCCACACTACACACACACACATATGCACTCTCTCTCTGTCTCTCCCTCAT